GGGCGGGAGCGGGGGGTGGTGCTGGGGAAAGGTCGGGGGCCCGAACTGCACTTTGGCTCGGCGCGGGGGGTCTACAAATACTTGGCTGCCCTTTCGGACCCCCCCCCCTCCCCTCGCGTTAGGATTTTCAAATCTTACAGGGGGTGTTGTCTCTTACGGGGGGGTGTTACCTCCCCGTAATTCAAACCCTGCTGGCTGGGGTCCTCCATCTGCCTGCCCAGGAGGGGGGCTGTGGTCGGGCACCTCCAGAGGCTGCAGGGCCGCTTTGCTGCCCCCGGTCCGTTGGCATCTGCTGCAGTCTCACTGGGCAGTGTCTGCTAGCTCCTGGGCGGGGTTTGAGGGCCAGTGGACGCCACCCAGCACATTATTTTCGGTGCCCCCCACACCCCGCACTTGTTTTAAACCAATGACCCTTGCCCGGGTCCCTCTTTTTGTCTTTGTGTTGTCCCGAGTGATGGCTGATGTGCCCTTAGTGACCCCCCGCATCAAACAGGGTGTATAGCTCTTCTTGGAGGGCTTCAGCCCATGTTGCAGAACGGGCCTGGCTAGAGGGTCTATTGGTATAAACGGGGGGGGGGGGGTTGCTGCCTTCTGTGGTGGAAGCACAGCCCTCTCCCTGGGATCTCTTGACTGTAGGTTAACCTTTTATAGAAGCAGCAGCAGGATGTTGGCAGCTGCGGTCTCCCTGATTGACCCGTGGCAGGTTTGGGGGCTATGTCAGGGTTGACACGGGTAGCTTTATAAAGAGTTTATAGATTTGGAAAGGGCTGATCCTGCCTCAGGCAGGGGCCCGGACTAGGTGACCTCTGGAGGTCCCTTCCAGCCCTGCTGCTCCATGCTTCTTTGAGGCAAGGTTTTGGTTCCATGAAGGGCACCAGGGTCTTTTCAGAGGGTGTCACTTGGGAGGAGAGGAGTTGGTTTCCTGCAGGGGAAGTCCCTTGGGGTGTAACAGGGTGGTCCCATGCAAGGGGCAGTGACTTGGAAGTGCCATGGTGTGTGGCACTTGGTGGGGTGGTGGCTGGGTCCCTGCAGAGGAAGCCACTTGGGAGATGACAGGCTGCATCTGCACAGATCGCACCACAAGAGAGAAGGGTTCTGCAGAGGGGCCTAAGTTGAAGGCAGCAAGCTTCAAGAGCTGGTTCCACCCAGGACTGTCACATGGCAAACAGCCAGCCATTATACACAACTAGTAATGAACTTGATCCAGAAGGGGACACAAAAGGCTAGCTTTATATGGGATGGGGGTGTCATGGGAGGCAACCGGCTAGTTCTGCAGGAGAGACAGTTGTGTGTGAAAAGAGGGGCTGGATCGGTGCATGCTTCTCATGTGACTTGACAAGCTGGACTGCCATCACCATCAGGCTGCTACTTGAGGTTCTGTGGAGGGGGTATGAGAGAGAGGATAGGTTGGGTTTGCTCAGGAGACTTTGCATCAGAGGCAGCCGATTGGTCCACAAGTGTGTTGCCATGAGAGCACAACTCCTGACTTGCAGGAGTGTTTGAGAGATGATGGGCTGTGTCCTTGGGGGTCATTGCATAATAAGACTATAAATGGAATTTCCCCTTCCCTCTGCCAGTAGTGTTAGCCTTGGTGCCAAAGTTATTCACCTCCCCAACTATCTGTGTCTTTTTTCAGGCTTGTGCCTTACTTATAGGCCAGCCATTCAGTTTTGGTCACTACAGTTAATCCTTTCGCCATTCAGTTTCTTTCTTAAAGATTCAATTTTTTGGTTGCTGTCTATTTGAAGTGACACAGTAGCCTTGCTTAACCATGTGTTAACTGGACAGTGTCCAATTTCTGTGATAGTGACAGATTCTACATCATTACAAGTAATATCCCTTAGCATACAACAGATAGGGAACATGCTAAACTCAACAAATTATCCTGCCTCACAGCACTGCACAATTTGTTTTTCATGTAAACGCAAATGCTACACACACTTAACCTGGGTATATATGTTAATACTGTATACTTTCTGATATTCTGCCTTAACTGTAATTGATATTCTGCCTTAAACTGAAAGAGTGGCATGTTATATTTAGTTTCCTTGGTATTTGCTTGATTGGTAGGGTTTGCATTAAGGAGATGACATTCTTATCCTTAATTATTGTATTTAGGTTCAGTATGGTAATGCATTGAGAACAACCCCACTCTAGTAAGTACTGAGTAGTACAGAATGCATGAACAGCTTACAGTCTAAGGCCCCCTCTCATGTTACGTTAACTGGTTAATTGCACAATTACCTTGAGACCAACTACACATGCAAAGTAGCTACCATGCCATGAAAAACTTTAACCATGTATGAAGTTGCACCTTGAAAATGTGTACTAACTTTATAGCTGGTTGCTTTTGAGCTTTAATGTGCATATGTAGCAGGATCTTCCCTGTGGCCAGGAGCCTTGTCAGCTGTGGGCTCCCAGCCACAGAAGTGCACCATGCTCAGCCAGGGCTGGGAGTCCCACAGCTGCTGGGGACTTTCAGCCTCAGCAGCTACAGACTGGTTCCTGGCAGCACCCACAGCTGCTGGATCCCTGCAGTGTGCTTCCCAGTGCCAGCTCAGTCCCAGCAGTTGCAGGGCACGGTTGTGATCTTCTAGCCCCAGGGATGTGTGAAACCCCTGGGACAGGGAGATTGCTACAGTAGCAATCTCCCTGGCCCCACCTCAGCTGGGGGCTCCCAGCTGGGACAACTTGCTTCTTGCCAATGCAGGAGGAGCTGAGGATTGGGCTCCCCTTGCACTGGCAATAGGGCACTATGGGATCTAATATGCATTCCCACAGTTATGCCTCCTGCCATGCACATGTGGTATGGCAAGAGGCACAATTGTGTGAATTGTGCTTTAGATCCCATTGCCCCTTTACATGCACATGTAGACGGGGCTTAAGAGATGAAAAATGCAAAAGACAAGAAGAGTGTAATAGCCTACAAAGGTCAAGTCAGTTCCACAGTTTTTCTTTTTAAGGTATGAACTAGATGAGTCTAGTTTAGGAGTTGATGTGCTAAATGAAAAGACAGGGAAAGGACAGGAGACATTAAATGAGGAGGAATCAAGGTGGAAAGTGCAAATGAAAAGAGGAAAAAGAGGAAGAGCAGGATCTGGAAGATAACCATTATGCGGCTACAGTGAAGCATGGGGAAGACGACAAAGAACTCGGCAGAGAATGGCCAACCCAAACTAGAAAATACTTTGATGACTTCCTTGGTTTCTGCTTAGCTGTTTTCAAGTCTTTGGCCCAGGCAATGTGTCTGTGTTATTTGCTCTATAGTAGTGGTTCTCAACCTTTTTAGGTTTGAGGCACCCCTCAGAAAATAACAACTCTTAGTTTTCATTTGTTTTTTGACTACAGAAAAATAATTGAGCATTTTTTCTGTTGCAAAGAACTTAAATTACAAGAAACATCAGGTTAGAAGGTTTTTAACACTGTGATTCCTATATAAAATCTCTGATTTTATCTTCTGAATTATGTTTGGATACTTTACAGTGCTAACATTGTGTGGCACCCCTGGATTACTCTTGAAAGGATCTCAAGGCACCTCAAAGTGTCAGGTCACACTGGTTTAGAATCACTGCTCTGTTATCTGCCAATTAAGACATCCACCTGGGAGGACTCCCATGTTTCAGTTCCCACTCAAATTAATATTCAATTACTTTTATCAAGTGAAATAGATTCAACGAGAGCACTTGAGAATGCCTCACCCTAGAATTCCCTGCAACCAACTGATCAGAGTTCTCCTGCAAGTGTCAGAACTGGGTGTGGAGCTGCTACTGCAAATTCAGCAAGGAGAGGATTTAAATTTGGGCTATCTGTCTCCCACTTGAGTGTCAGAAACCAGTGTGTTGCAAGTAGTGAAGTACCATGACCTACTCAGTTCTGCAAATAATATTTGAATCTTTGTGGATCTGGCCCCCAAACCTAAACATGTATCATTTCAGAAATTCTTAACTTTTTAACATTCCTTATTTTTTAATATTTCCTTCTGCTGAAACTATTTGTAAATTCAGGTTGAATTCTGTGAACAGACTGAGCTGCACTGAAATTTCCATTTGCCAAATAAATGAGTTTCTAAAAATATTGTGCCTGTCTCTAATCATATGAAATAGAGCCAGTTCCATCCCAGGTGTGTTATATGTGGAATGTAGAGGTTGGGATTCAGGATGGAAGGGCTGGATGTCATGGGAATCATTATGGTTTCTCTTTGCAGCTTTTTGTATGAGTTAATCTGCAGTTTGGGTTCAAAGAGGAGATAATGTAAAATGAAGCAGTTTGAATTCAGATGACCTGGGGGGAGTTTTTCTAAAAACACGTTTTAAATACTTG